AACTCCAGCGACAGATCGCTGGCACCCACAATCCGTAGTTCACATTGGGGTTCACTCTCGGTGCTGTATGCCCCGTGGGTTTTGACGAAAGTGTAATGACATGCGTCCATTATGACATCATACGCAATAGTTTCACTGCCCTAAAAAATCCTCTGTGTTCCTATCCCCCCTCCGTCCCCTCTCCTGACAGCCACTAATGGACCACCTCCACAGTTTTGCTTTTTCCAGAGTGTCTTCTAGTTGGAATCACACACTATGGAGCCCTTTTAAACTGGCTCCTTTCACTTAGCAATATATGATGCACAGGTAAAGCTGTCGAATGTAATTTAACAGTTGTAAACTTTTTGGTGGCTGTGAGCAGCAGTTGACGACAAGGAAGAATTGACAGACATCAGTAACTCTGGTGCTGATGTAACCCATCGGAGGCACCTGACTGGGCCTCCCTGCCCTGTGGTGCCTCCTACATGCCCATTCCAAGAAATCCCACCTTCGACCATCGCTTTATCCCAGCCACAGACTTCCTATAACGGATCAGTTCCTGTTTCTAAAATTGCTCATGTGGTTTCTCCATCCATGCACTGTAGTCATTAGGTGCCCGTGGGTGCTGGGTGCTCACGACAGAGCTCCTTGTCCTTGGCTGGGAGAATCAACACAGCATTTAAGCTCTGTTGAATTTAAGACTGAGAGCATCCTAGGATCAGTGCAGGGGGAATTATCTAGAAAAAAATGGATTTTTTTTTCTTTTTTTGAGCAATGAAAACCACAGAAGAGCATAACACCTGTCACTTTACCAGACCTCTTCAAGGCCTGCAGTTAGGGACAAGGAAAGGACTGCACTTGAAATGCTAATTATCTGGGGAGAAAAATGTCTGTGGGGGCCTTATTCAGAGCACTGGGAGGCCCCCGCTTCCCTAAGCTCTCCTGTGAAGACTGCAGAGAAGTCCCACCTAGGAGCGAGGCCCTTGTCTTTCCTCACAAGAGAAGGGTTCCACGGCCCTCAATAATTAAGGCCTTTCAGCCTCTGTGGGAAGCACTGTCGAGAAGGATTTCTTGGCTGTAGCTCTTTCTCTCATTCTAGGGAATTTTTAATTCCATCGTCTACGTATTTGTGAGTCATTTCCGATGACGATAATTAGGGCGACAAGAAGCTGAGGGATGGCTAGGACAGCTGGTGATTTTTTTTGGACAAAGCCCCAGGCGGGCAAGAGATAGGAACCTGAGGCTCCAAAACCTCCTTCCTGGGACTTTGAGAAGGAACATGCATCCAGCTCCATGAGCTTTGAAGCGAGGATGCAGCTGGCAGAGCCATACTTACCTCCTGGTTTTACGTGACTCCAGGTAATAAGAAGGGAGGACGGAACTGCCTTCTTGACTGGGTCAGCCCAGCTCCCTGGGGTTTTGCTGAGACGACGGCAGGTGAAGAGACGCGCTGACATGAGGATGAACAGCCCGACCCAGGAGAGCATCAGCCTCCCGTTACGTTGCACCAAAGCAATGCAGAGATGCAAGACATCCCCTTAGGGCACTAAGACATCATTGCTTAATTTAATTTATACAAAATGCCAAGTTTTTAGAAGTGTTAGATCAGTGTTAGGTCATCTAGAGAATATCACAACGTTGGATGGGAACGTTTTATGGAATTCTAGAGTCAGTAACTGGGCCCACGAGACCCCAGAAGGAAGCCTGCAGAGAGCGATGCATTCCTCTATCGCCGCGAGCGCGACTTCTGGGAGAAAAAGCCCAACACTTCCGAGTCTCCTCCTAGTCACCCCCCATACTTTTCTTCCCTCTCCCTGAGAGAGTTGGAGGTTTAAGACCAGCAGCGTTCTCTTATATGTCATGGTGCTGTGGGCTGGGAACTGGAGCAGGCCTGAACAGGTAGCTCCTCAGTCCACTGGCAGCTGGGCTGGGGGGCAGAGGGGGGGCCATGGATCCACTCACATGTCTCGGCCTCAGCAGGGAAAGCTACAAGGCTGGGCTCCCCTGAGACTGCAAGCTGCTGTCAGGGTCCTGGACTTCTTACGGGGCTGCTCAGGGTGCTCCCAGAGAGGCTGGTTCTGGAGAATAGAAGCTTCAGGCTCAGCAAGGCCCAGGTGGGATTCCACAGGTTGGAGTATTCACGGAGCCCGCGTGCAAGGGGCCCAGACCCAGACATCACCCCTCAGTGGGAGAAAAGCATCAAAGAGTTTGCAGCAGTTTTTAGAAGTCAGATTTCCTGTGATATAATTTACAGAAAATGATACAAATTCCCCCTTTTTAGTGTACAGTTGTATATGTTTGGATATCCACAATCACAACTGTGATCAAGATAGACGATCTCTGTAACCCCCAAGATCCCCCTGTGCTGCCCCTCTGTACTCCAGAGCAGTTAGATTTTCGGCATGTATTTTTCTGTTCTTTTATTTGTAAGCTCTTTGTGTCTTCACCTTTAAAATGAGATTCTTTTAGACACCACACAGTTGGTCTTGCTTTTCATCCAATAGCCCGTCTTTCATGGGTATGTATACCGTTTACGTGGTACCTGACTTGAAAAATGAGGTTAAAATCTATCATCTTGCCAATTGTTTTCTATTTGATCCCTCTCCTGTTTTCTCCTTTTCTGTACCTTTTGCCTGCCTGCTTCGGGATTAATTAGGTATTCTTATACTTACATTATTTTCCCTACTCTTGCCTTACTTTAGATCTCTTTTCCAGACTCATTTAGTGATTGCTCTGGAGTTTATAATATACATCCTTAATGAACCACGGTTTATCTTGAAGTTTATCACATGCACGACGTATGAGCCTGGTCAGTGCCTCCAGGGCCTCCTTCCCGTCTCTCGGGCTGTTGGGACCCCTCTCTTCACTCGTACCCACACAAGTCCCGATGAAACGCTACATTTGTTGCTTTAAACAGTCAACTATATTTGAGAGTGAGTCAAAAATAAGAAAAATATATTCTACCTATCCTCGTCTTAACCAGTTCTGGAAATCACCCATTTCCCTCCATAGATCTATAGCTTCTATGTCCGTCTGATATCACATCCCTCCAGTGTTTTTCACAGCATAGGTGTGCCGGGAATGAATTCTCTCTGCCTCCGTCTTCCTGATGACGTCTTTATGATGCTTCCCCAGGACAGGAACCCTGGGACCATAGATTTTCCCATTAGTACTTGAAACATGTCACTCCACAGCTCGTGGCTCACTTGGCTTCCGATGAGAAAGCCCTTGTAATTCCCTCCTTTGTGTCTCTGTACTATTGAACTTGTCTGGGCATCCACAGCCTCCAAACACTCTGCCCTCCGCTGCCCACCCCCATTCAGCCACTAGCACTTCATTAGGAATTTCAGCCGAGTTTTCCCTACCAGGCTGTACAGTATCCCTCATCCTCTCTCCTGCTCCACCCCAGGTGAGCCAGCACTCACATGGTCTCCCCTCCAAGAGGCCCATCTTTTCTCAACATTCCAGACTACTCGGTAGCCCCATTGACCTCGGATTTCCTTCAGGCTCAAGAGAAGTTAAGATTTTGTAGTTAGTTCAGCTTCTTCTTATTCTCAGATGTGACATTCTTCCCAGCGTTCTACATCCTAGGCACTGTGATCCCCCCAGCCATTTTTTTTTTTTTAATTCAAAAATGCGGAGTGGGGAAACGGACCATTTGCTTGCCGACTTGCAGAGGCAGGGACCGAGGAATATCACAGCCAGAGTCCAGAGAGGACAGGAAAAAAGCGTGACTTGAAGAGTACACTTGAGGGGCCTGGGGGAATTTTATGCTTTTTTCACTTCTGCCTAACGAGATGGGCTTTTGAAGAAGAGAATAATGAGAGGCTTAGTCATCTTTAACAGAACCATGCTCTGTCTCCATATGCTCCGTTCCAGGAGACTGTTGTCTTTATTTCTTTACCTGGAGCCAAAGGGTCCTATTGGCTTCTTTGTCTTATTTTTGAAACAAGCTCCTAAAGGACAAGGACCTTCTTTTTCAGAGAGTTGGATGTCACAGCCCGTGGGCTGGTCCCCTCCTTTGAGGCCACAAAGGTCCTTGTCCTCTAACAGCTAGCCATGTCACATCACTGCCTTTTTCAAAACACTCTGGATTCCCCGTGGCCCACCGTGTATGTTACCAACCACTGTGTTTGAGGAGACAGTGCCCAACCCGACCCACCCACATCCTCAGCCCAGCTGCCCACGTGTGCCCTGTGTCTAGCCATGCTCACTCTTTTCTCATGGTATGCCAGGGTTTTATAACGCCAGGCCTCACTCCATCTTCCCAATGGAGAAGGCCTTTCGCAAGGCCCTTCCCTCTTCAGACAGCTGCACTTTCTTCCAGAACCAGTGCAGGTGCCTCCTGACCGCAGCCTTCTGTGCTTTCCTCAGACAGATTCAGCTGCTCTGTCTTGGGCGTCCACTGGTCCAGAGAGCGATGTGCCTGTTTGGGTTACATGAGTATCTCCCCAAGATCATGACTTCTGGAAGGCAGGCCATTTGGCAAGCGTATAGCTGGTCAATAACAGAAAGACAAAATGGTGGTCCCTGTGACAGACAAAGAGAAATTTAGCCTCCAAATGAGTGAACAATCCATATGGGAGGGGATGCTTTTTTTTTTTCAGATGGAGGATAAATGGTCTTGAAACATAGTGGTACCTAATGGGGGAGGGGGTCTCTCAGTGAAACCTTGCCTGGATCTCAAACCCTGAGTAACTGAGAAACGAACCAGAGAAAGCTCTCATTAACTATTTACCTGGGGATTCCTGGGAAAGCCTCACCGGTGGAATGAGATGATCCAGTCCACTTTTCTGCCGATGCCTTAAAGAATTCTCCAGCAGAAAATGGGAAATAGCCCCAGTTCTTTTTCTTTGTAATGCCACTATTAGCTTCCGGAAACATTCATCACACTTCCCTGTTGTCAATGCCGTAATGGCCTGTGAATCATGAGTGGCAGCTAAGAGTTTCTTTCTCATCTCTTCTCCCTACTGGGCCTCCTACCGTTTGTTTTGCTGTCTTCCACGACGGCCTTGGAACAGTGCCTACTGCGCCCCCACAGAACGTGCAGATGGAAGCTGTGAATTCCACAACCATCCAGTTCCTCTGGAACCCTCCACCTCAGCAGTTCATCAACGGCATCAACCAGGGATACAAGGTACACAGACTTAGTTCAGAGTCCTGGGTGGCCGTCCTGGTCTGTCATGGTCTTGTGACCAATGAGAAGGCTGCCCACTCCTCATTTCATGGAGAACCCATTGTATCAAGTTACCGAGTGTGTTGGCTTTGGTGGTGGGGGTGGGGGTCACCATTTATCCAAGGTCTTATCTGCTCTACTGGTTCAGAAACTCACATTATTAGTTTTCAAGTGGGTGGTTCATATGTAACAGAGCAATTTCTTTTGAGAAAAGCCATCCATTTAAAAATTAGCAGTGGAAAACCTATCTTGGTTGATTGGAATCAGCATTTGTACAAACCACATCTTCCTGGAGAGGAGTCCTCTCAGAAGAGCCCAGCCTTAGAACAAAGGGCGCTAGATCAAGGGAATGATATTTCTATCCGGTAAAGATATTTACTCCCTCCCCGTCTCAACTTCAAGGAGAGTTCTGTTCATAGAACCAAGACCAGTGAATTGAGGGCACCTACCTGGCCTGAATTAGAGACACAGAGTCCCACTGTGCAGCCGCCCTCTGTTCTTAGCTACCAGGATATGTGACCTTCATAGATGTATTTGGATGCAATTTCCAAAAGTGTAGTCCATCCTGCCTTCTAGATCAGCTTCTGGTTGGACTTGGGGTCCCACCTTGATTTTACCTACAGCATAGTCACTAATGTCCTGCAGTAGCAGGTAAACTCAGGGGAGATCTTGATGGAGAAAGGACTCCATGTGGTCTGCTTGAATTCTTGGTAATTTCAGATTCAAAGAGTATTATTTCCTTAGACACTTGGTTCACTTTTTTTTGCCCATTTGGATTCAACTTACGGAAACACTTTTTTGTTTTCACTAGAAAGGCAGATGCAGCTAGAAATTCGCCCTGCCTTTTCTTTTCCTTTTAGATTCCCCAGAGGAATCTACACTGAGAAGCTTTTTTGAAAGAAAATCATATTGATCAACCAAGATGATTTTGCCTCCTTGACTTTCCTGTCAAATCTTATTGGCAAGACCAGAGCATTCATTCGATGGCTCAGTGTTGGTTTGATCTATATAAAAATACGCTTTGTGTCCCACAGCATATCAACCTTCAAACCTAATTAACCTGGAAATGTTTGGTGTCAAAGGAATTAAAAGTCACACTCATACATAATGTTGCCCGAACATTAAAACAACTTCCCTTGGAAAGTGTATATGTACTATATTTCTTTAAAATTGTAATCAATCTCCTAAAATTCTTTTCAGAAAACTAGTGTGACATAAATCGTAAATAATTAAGATTCCTTCCCATTGAATCAGGGGCTTCTCTTTGCAGCAGAGTAGGTGCTAGCTAAAAAAATATCTGTGTTCATGTTTCATTGATATTTGCGTTTATGTTTCATTATACTGATTAAGTCAAATAAAGATGGTTTTGTGTTTATTGCTTAGTGTTAAAAAACATTACGTTCTGCAACGTCTTTAGGTGAGGAGAAAGTGAAGGTTTGAGGAGTGTCTGATATTCCAACATGGGTTAAAGTAGATATTTATATATACATGTATAAAATATATGTACATATTTGTGTTCAATTATCTGTGAGATATCCTTTCAACTCCATATTTTTAAGTGGGATCATAAAATGTAGGATTTATGGAGTTTCTTAATCATGACTTTGCTTTCTTTGAAGATATATTAATCACAAAATAAAAATCCTGATACAGACTCAAGAGTGAAGGTGTGCAGTTAAAAAGGATCTCTTTCTCAACCTGTCCCATCACAGCTCCTCGCTTGGCCAGCTGAGGTCCCTGAGGCCACCACTATGGTCACCATTGCGCCAGATTTCCACGGAGTCCACCACGGGTATATAACGAACCTGCAGAAGTTCACTGCTTACTTCACCTCAGTTCTGTGTTTCACCACTCCGGGGGATGGGCCTCCAAGCACGCCTCAGCTCGTATGGACTCATGAAGACAGTGAGTACTCCTCCACCATGTGTCTTCTCAACAGTCACAAGTCAGGTGTCAGGAAGGTCCAGACCATTGTCATGTCCTGTGCTGGGCAGGGGCCGAGGAGGGTCATCAGGAATGTCCGTGTCCTCAGAGTGTTTGCAGTCTGCGCACCCTGGGGAGATAAGTCAGTGGGAAGTATTGGTAATGAGCAGTGGAAGGTGGTCCCTGGAACTGGAAGCCAGGCTAGCAGAAAGAGTTCAGAGGGCCAGGGAAACAGTCTGGTCTTAGCCATGTGGTCCACCTGTGGTCTTGCTGGACTTCTCTTCCCCCAGATTTCAACTTCCAGTCCCCTTACCTTCTTCTTCTTTTTTTTTTTGTTCCAATATTCTTTTTTTTAATTTAAATTCAATTAATTAACATACAATGTATCATTGGTTGCAGAGGTAGAGGTGAGTGATTCATCAGTCTTATATAACACCCAGTGCTCATGACATCACATGCCCTCCTTAATGTCCATCACCCAGTTACCCCATCCCCCACCCCTTCCCCTCCAGCAACTCTCAGGTTGTTTCATATGATCAGGAGTCTCTTAGGTTTGTCTCCCTCTCTGATTCCATCTTGTTTTATTTTTCCCCTCCCTTCCCCTATGCTCCTCTGTTTTGTTTCTTAAATTCTGCATATAAGTGAAATCATATTGATAATTGTCTTTCTCTGATCTGACTTATTTCGCTCAGCATAATACCCTCTAGTTCCATCCACATTATTGCAAATGGCAAGATTTCTTTTTTTTTTTTTCCTGATGCCTGGGTAGTATTCCAGTGTATATATATACCACATCTTCTTTATCCATTCATCTGTCAATGGACATCTGGGCTCTTCCCATAGTTTGGCTATTGTGGACATTGCTGCTATAAACATTGGGGTGCAGGTGACCCTTCAGATCACTACATTTGTATCTTTGGGGTAAATCCCTAGTAGTGCAATTGCTGGGTCATAGGGTAGCTCTATTTCCAACTTTGGAGGAACTTCCATACTGTTTTCCAGAGTGGCTGCACCAGCTTGCATTCCCACCAACACTGTAGGAGGGTTCCCCTTTCTCCACATCTGCACCAACATCTGTCATTTCCTGACTTGTTACTTTTAGCAATTCTGACTGGTGTGAGGTGGTATCACATTGTGGTTTTCATTTGTATTTCCCTGATACCAAGTGATGTCGAGCATTTTTTCATGTGTCTGTTGGCCATTTGGATGTCCTCTTTGGAGAAATGTCTGTTCACATCTTCTGCCCGTTTCATGATTGGATTATTTGTTCTTTGGGTGTTGAGTTGGATAAGTTCTTTATAGATTTTGGATACTAGCTCTTTATCTGATAAGACATTTGCAAATATCTTCTTCCATTCTGTGGGTTGTCTCTTGGTTTTGTGGACTGTTTCCTTTGTAGTGCAAAAGCTTTTTATCTTGTTGAAGTCCCAATAGTTCATTTTTGCCTTTGTTTCCTTTGCCATTGGAGATGTGTCTAGCAAGAAGTTGCTGCAGCTGAGGTCACAGAGGTTGCTGCCTGTGTTCTCCTTGAGGATTTTGATGGATTCCTGTCTCACATTTAGGTCTTTCATCCATTTTGAGTCTATTTTTGTGTATGGTGTAAGGAAATGGTCCAGTTTCATTCTTCTGCATGTGGCTGTCCAGTTTTCCCAACACCACTTGTTGAAGAGACTGTCTTTTTCCATTGGACATTCTTTCCTGCTTTCTCAAAGATTAGTTGACCATAGAGTTGAAGGTCCATTTCTGGGTTTTCTATTCTGTTCTGTTGATCTATGTGTCTGTTTTTGTGCCAGTACCATACCGTCTTGATGATGACAGGTCTGTAATAGAGCTTGAAGTCCCGAATTGTGATGCCCCCAGCTTTGCTTTTCTTTTTCAACATTCCTTTGGCTATTCGGGGTCTTTTCTGGTTCCATACAAATTTTAGGATTATTTGTTCCAGCTCTGTGAAAAAAGTTGATGGTATTTTGATAGAGATTGCTTTGAATGTATAGATTGCTCTAGGTAGCATAGACATTTTAACAATATTTGTTCTTCCAGTCCATGAGCATGAGACGTTTTTCCATTTCTTTGTGTCTTCCTCAATTTCTTTCATGAGTGTTCTATAGTTTTCTGAGTACAGACGCTTTGCCTCTTTGCCTTGGTGTATTCCTAGGTATCTTATGGTTTTGGGTGCAGTTGTAAATGGGATCACCTCCTTAATTTCTCTCTCTTCTGTCTCATTGTTAGTGTATAGGAATGCAACTGATTTCTGTGCATTGATTTTATATCCTGCCACTTTACTGAATTCCTGTATGAGTTCTAGCAATTTTGGGGTGGAGTCTTTTGGGTTTTCCACATACAGTATCATATCATCTGAAAAGAGTGAGAGTTTGACTTCTTTGCAGATTCGGATACTTTTTATTTCTTTTTGTTGTCTGATTGCTAAGGCTAGGACTTCTAGTACTATGTTGCACAACAATGGTGATAGTGGACATCCCTGTCATGTTCCTGAACTTAGGGGAAAAGTTCTCAGTTTTTCCCCACTGAGGATGATATTTGCTGTGGGCTTTTTGTACATGGCTTTTATTGTATTGAGATATGTTCCCTCTATCCCTACACTGTGCAGAGTTTTAATCAAGAAAGGATGCTGTACTTTGTCAAATGCTTTTTCTGCATCTACTGAGAGGACCATATGATTCTTGTCCTTTCTTTTATTAATGTAGTATATCATGTTGATTGATTTGAGGATGTTGAACCACCCCCTGCAGCTCAGGAATAAATCCCACTTGGTCGTGGTGAATAATCCTTTTAATGTACTGTTGGATCCTATTCGCTAGTATCTTGGTGAGAATCTTGGCATCCATGTTCATCAGGCATATTGGTCTGTAATTCTCCTTTTTTGGTGGGGTCTTTATCTGGTTTGGAAATCAAGGTAACACTGGCCTCATAGAAAGAGTTTGGAAGTTTTCCTTCTATTTCTGTTTTTTGAAACAGCTTCAGAAGAATGGGTATTAATT